TCCTCCCTCCTGACCTGATGATCCTCCCTCCCTCCCGATGATCCTCCCTCCTGACCTGATGCTCCTCCCTCCTGATGATCCTCCCTCCTGACCTGATGATCCTCCCTCCCTCCCGATGGTCCTCCCTCCTGACCTGATGATCCTCCCTCCTGACCTGATGATCCTCCCTCCTGACCTGATGGTCCTCCCTCCTGACCTGATGATCCTCCCTCCCTCCCGATGATCCTCCCTCCTGACCTGATGGTCCTCCCTCCTGATGATCCTCCCTCCTGATAGTCCTCCCTCCCGATGGCTCTCCCTCCTGATGACCCTCCCTCCGCTGGGTCCTCCCTCCCAATGACCCTCCCCAACCCTTCCTTTCCCAGTGCCTGGATTATTTCCAGCTCAAGACCCTGAGCTCTGCTTGCGGCAGCCTCCGGTGCAGACCCTGCCAGACCCCCGCTCTTCCCCGCCCGCCCCGCACCACTCACCTGCAGCTCCGTGATGGACATGATCTCTTGCCAAGTCAGTTCCATCTCCCCCAGCTCCAGAGCAGGCAGCTGTGTCCCCCTGTTTCTGCTCTGCTGGGGAGGACACGGGGGCATCCTACTGGGCCAGAGCCTGGTCTGGGGCGCCCCAAAGCCACGTGGCCCCAGAAACCTGGATTGGGAAGAAATGGGGGTCAGAGCCTCGCCTGCTCGGCTCAGGCCAGCTCCCTCGGCTCCATCTCAGCCCTCGGTCCTGCAGCCTCACAGACCAACTCCTCACGCCGGGGTCTTTCTGCTACCAGTCTGCTCTGTCAGCTCCTGCAGCGGCTCCCTGGGTCCTCACCTCTTTTTTTGACAAGATGCCTTCTCTTTCTCTTACTTCTTACTCCCCCAAACTGTGTCACTGGCCAGGGCAGGGACATCTGTCACGTCTGCTGGGTCTGGAGCTCCCCCTTTGCTCAGGCAACTTCGGGATTCGTCCCAGTCTTTTCCTCAAGATGAGAGTGAGTGCTTGGGGATCCCCAAGGAGTATGTTGTGGGAGAACCCCAGCACATAGCCCCTCCCCTTCTCCAAGATAGGGCCCAGGCCTGGTGGTTGATAGCAGCCCTGCCCTGTCCCCTTGTCCTGGCCCTCACCCCCTGCCTGGCTCTGATAAGAGGCTTATCAGCTGCAGGCAGTGGAGGGGAATGGCCCTGAAGGCACAACCTGCTTCCTGTGTCCTGGGCAGGGTCCACTCGGCCAATCCTGACCCACACAGCTGAGGGTCCCCCGAAGGTGATACATCAGCCATAGCAAAGACACTTGTCAAGAGCTGTGTGGCGGGGCCTTCCTGGCGGCGAAAGGGTTAAGCCGCAGCGCTGTGAAGCTATCTCCAGCCACTACAGCACAAGTTCCATCCCTTGCCGGGGAGTGACCCCCAGGGTGCAGCAGAACTCTCCTGTCTCCCCACTACTCCCCTCAGCAATGTGTTTCAGTAGATCCACCTGTTCTGCTCCCCACTCTGTCTCTAGTGACTCCTATCATCCCCCAACCCCCTGGCCTGCACCCCAGCTCTTGTACACATAAATAAATAAATCTTTTTTTTTTTTTTAAAGGAACTGAGCTGGTGTCTTTTTTTTTTTTTTTTAAGATTTATTTATTTGTGCACACAGAACTGGGGTACAAGCCAGAGGCTCAGGGGCAGTGAGAGGCTTCACCAGAGACAGAGCGGGGAGCAGAACAGGCAGATCGACAAAGGACACTGCTGAGGGGAGCAGCGGGGAGACAGGAGAGGTCTGCCGCGCCATGTGGTCACCTCCGGGGCAGGCGGGAATCGAACTCATGTGGAAGCGGCTTTTAGATTCTCAGTGCTGTGCTTTAACCCGCTGCGCCACCAGGGAGGGCCGCTGGTGTCTTTTTATGAGATTGGTTTTCAACATGATTCAGGAGGTCCAGTCAGACATCGAGACCCAGCTGGTAGACAGGGTCAGGTCTGGAAGCTCTCCCGGCTGATTCTGCTTCCGACACCACCTCCAGGCTCCTTCCACACCGCGCCCGCCCCCACCCTCCGCCCCTCCACTGGCGCCTCCATAGGCCAATTCTCTTGCGGGGTCTTGGTCTCTTCTCTCCTGGGGAACGCGTCCTTTAGAGTCTTGGAGCCACACACCACCATGCAGTACTGTGGCATTTGGGCAACTGTCTCGCTCCTCGAGTCTCTGTTTCCTCATTTGTGAAAGCAGGGAGCTCGACAAGTCAGACTCAGAGTCCTTTCCACGCACACGTTTAATGTTCTCCGTAAATGTTCGCCCCTGTCTCCATCTCCTCTCTGCCAGCCCCTCTTTCTTCGTGTCCCCTCACATCCATCACCCCTATATCCGTCTCCCTGCTCGGGCAAGACATCTCCAGTAGATTTGTCAGGCTCCTCCTGAGCAAGTAGGAAAAGACACCTCACCTGGCTCCTTCTCCCCCAGAGTCCCGCACCCCATGTAAGCAAAGGCAGGCAGACTGGGGTGTGGGAAACCTCTAGACGGAGGATTTGGCTGGGTAAGTCCATATTTCATGACCTTAGATCCCCACAGCATGGTCTAACACAGCTACGTAACAGAAATCCACTCCTGGACTTACCATAAAGTCAGTGAGAGCTGCAAGGATCCTTTCGAAGGAGAATCTCCCCTCGCCCCTGCCCCCACCTCCTGGTTCTGTGGCCATGCCCAGGGCTGGGAGCTGGTGTGGGCACAGGCCCGTGGCTGCTGGGCAGAGTGGGTGGGGTGTTTATGTCTGCCCAGGATGCCATTTCAACACCGGAACCCCACCCTCCTCCACCCAGGTTCTGGAGGAAATTGCCCAAAGGCAAAGTGAATGGAGAAGGGGTTTGGGGCAGGGACATGCCTCTTGCCTCATAGTCCTTTGCGTCCCCCCTCTTTGTCCCTCCATATATCCTCCGGGCTCTGACTGTCTGGTGCACTACAAAGGCACTGCCCAGCAGGCAAGGTGGAGAGGAGGGTCTGTGGCCTTAGAGGAGGACTGCCGCCTTCATGCAATGCAGCAAGCATCCTGGAGCACGTCCTGGACCAGGTCCCGGAGCACCGGCACAGTCAGGCTTTTGCATTAAACGGATCTGGGGGCCCTCCCCAATGCAGCACTGCAAGCTGGCTGCACGCTTCAATGCAAGTTCGATCCCCACCCCAGAGGTGACCCACAGGGCGCTAGGCAGACCTCTCCTGACCCACCCGCCGCTCCCCTCAGCAGTGGACTTCACCAGTCCACCTGTTCTGCTCCCCACTCTGTCTCTGGTGAAGCCTCTCACTGCCCCTGCACCTCTGGCTTGTACCCCAGTTCGGTGTGCATAAATAAATAAGTCTTTAAAAAAAAAAATGGAGACTGAACTACAGAACCTCCTTGCTGGGAGAGGCATCACCTGCATCTGGCTGGGGAGGTCATAGAACTGTGGGCCACATCCCAGGGGATCCTAAAAGCTACCTATGGGCCACTGGGCTGAGTTCATAGGTACGGGCCCAGCCACCAGTATTTTAGCAAGTTGCTGGCGGTTCTGGCTCAGAGAACCATCGACTCTGAGACATACTGATCTGTCCAGCTGTGTGGACTTACAGGAAAGAATACGAAGCCCAAAAGGAACCCCACAAGTGATATCCAGGTTCCCCCAGCTTCAAACCCAAGCAAGACTGAACACAAGTCTGCCCAGCCTGAGACTGAACACCACCCCCTTCCCAGGAAGAGGGGGCCAACTTCCCTGCCACCCGAGGGCAGGAAGAGGAAGATTCAGAAGAGGAGCTGGAGGAGGCGGGAGGTTGAGGAGAAGGCGCTTAGGAGAAACTCTGGACCGGCTCCAGCAGCCCTCTGGTGCAGCCACAAGTTGGTGCTGGGCCAAAGGGGGGTATTTGGCCCTAGAAACTCGGGGGAGGGGAGCAATCTGACGCCAGGTACAGCCCGCCTCGGAGCAGTCAGTGGGTAGCTGGGGAGAGAGGAGCCAACCTGCAGCAGACAGGACAGCGCAGAGGGCCAGAGGCAACTCTGAGAGCCTTGTTTAGACGCTCCCTTCCCGCTGAGGGCACCTGCACCTTAGGTCACACCCACCTCGCTCCAGCCCGGCATGCACACTGCTCACTCTCGTCCTGAAGGCTTTACCCAGAACAGCCCGAGGACTCAGCAGCATGGAGCTTGAGGCATGAGGAAGCCGGATGAGGGCCATGGGGTGGGAGTGGGGGCTCAGGTGCTGCCCGGAGCCCCAGACCCCAAGCAGGAGCCTCCGGGTCCCTGTCCGAGGCTCACTCTGCCAGCCTGTCGGTGCCCATAGGGCAGTGAGGATGAGGAAGGGCCAGCGAAATTTAGGGTACGAGCGGCAGGTGAGCAAACGACTTAGAAAAATCCAGAAGGGTCCGCCAAGAGAGACGGCACACAGCGGGGAGACAGAAACAAACAGCGTGGAAGAAAAGGGGGACAGATGAGGTCGGAGAGAGAGCCCGTGCCCGGGACCACACACAACTTACGGGGGGCAGAGAGACAAGTCTGGGCTACTTGAGCCCCTGCACCCCAAGCCCAGTCCAAAGACCAGAGCGCGGGGCCCCGCAGAATGGCGCCTCAACTGTCCTCTCCCCACTCCCAGCCACCTACCTCCAAGCTGCCAGGATTTCTCAAGGGAAGTAGCCGCGCCCTCTCCCTCCAGGTCCAGCTGGTGGTGCAGCTGCAGACCCCAGAAGGGGCAGTGGGAGGCAAGACCCCCACACGCGCCGCCCCTTCCTGCCCCATCCTGCTCAGCCACCAGGCGTCCGCTCGCCCCAAGCTTCCCAGCTGGCTGACAGGACGGCGGGAGCAGAGCTGGGAAAGCCCGGTGCCCTGTACCCCCGTCTAGTGCACTCCGAGGTAGCCAGCTTGTTCTGGGGTTACTCAAAGCCACTTCCCACCCTCTGGGCACCACTGACCGGTCCCCATGCACCCTTCTCATCCCAAGGATCCCAGAGGGCTGAGAAGCGACCTCCCGGAGGGATCCCCCAAGTGCCAAACTCCTAAAGCAGGAACAGCAGGGCAGGCCCTGAGATCTAGGACCGCACCCCTGGACCTCTACCCTTCCACCCCCCAGCTGGCCCTGAAGGCCCACAGGGATCCCCCTTGCACACACCCCACCCCCAGGCACCTGTGGCGGTCCAGGCAGCTGAGGAGAGAGATGAGGCTCCAGGTGCTGTCTCCGCGGAGGCCGGGCCTCAGCTGACCGTCGTGGGTGAGCGCCTGCTACCTCTCAGAACCGGGGCGCGCTGTGCCCCGCCCCGAGGCCATAGCTGAGTGCAGAATGCCCAGGCGCTGCTGGGGAGATGGGGCTGGCTGCGGCGCCTGTTCCTGAGGCCTCCGCCTGCCTGCGGCCGGCCGCGTCCTTCTTCCAACCCTCCCCTTTCCCCGCGGCCCTCTTCTCCTCCTGCCCCCTCTGGCCAAGAGAGGAAACTTGAGCCCAGTGTGGTTTCTGCCCACACCCCGCCCCCAGCCCTGCGGGGGCACCCCAGCTCCCAGCCGGGGCCTGTTGAGCCCAGGAGTCCCATGGGGGCGCTTCGCCCGAGCCCAGGGTGGACGGCTGCCCACTGGCCGGAAGTCCCACCAGCCGCACCTCCCAACTTTCCACAAGTTGCAATCCGCGCCCCTTGGTCCCCTGGACAGGGACAGGGAAACTGAGTCTCAGCAAGGCGGAGGACAGCTAACAGCAAGGAGCAGGTGTGTAGGCCCCAAACCCTAGGCGGGGTGCATTCAGGGCTCTGTTTTTACTTAAGGGAAGCTAGGTTCTGGGGAAAGGGTACAGGAGCTATTTTGGGGAGGTGCAGCCCAAGGCTTTGATGTGTCCTTTCACCTGTAGCCTCATCCCCTCCCCCTGCGGCTTCAGGTGTCCTAGGACAAAGGCCTCTTTCTTGGCCAGGCTTGTTGTCAGTTTATAAGGGTTGGGGGGGCGCAGGGACATTATTCACGTCCCTTAAAGGAGATCCCCTGCCCTCTGCCTGCCTTTCAGGCAGGGCACCCCACCCACATGGCAGCCACAGTCCTTGGACAGGCTTGGACCCATGTGGAAGAGACCAGTGCACTCCCCAGTACTCGGGCAGCTCTGGGTCAGGCCAGTGAGTAACCCCAGAAGTCACTCATTCACCCCTTTGCCTCCAGCACACAACCCAAGCCTCGGGCCAAACAGAGCCCTCCCCAGAGACTAGCTTTTAGCGACTTCCAGCCTGAGGCCGCCCTTACAGGGCGAGTGTCAGTCCTTGCAAACTCAGTTTTCCTTTTTATGGTGTTCAAGTGAAACTGGTAACCAAGACACTGGGGACGTGCATAGGTGGCACCCCAAAACCGGGCTGGCATTCACCAAGTACAGGGCTGTGTTCGGCAGTAAAATAATGAAATGACCTGCCCGGTTGATATAGAATAGCTGTGGGGAGTCTTCCAGTGTTTCCACTCTATCAGGCACCCCAATCTTCCTTAGGACCCCCACCACGCACCTCGAGAGGCTATGTAGATGGACAGGAGCCTCGTGCCTGTGCCCCTGGAGCTGATCACCCCGCACCCCAGACCCAAGGTTAAATGTTTTGAGTTCCATCCCTATCCCAGGAGACCCTAATTCTCCCTCATGGAGCAGAGCTGAGTCACGGCTTCATTACCTGTCACAAGTAGATTCCGAATCGCTCTGTGACCCGGACATGAATCTAGGTCATGTCCATGGACATTCAGGTAGAGCTCCCTGAGCGCATAGCATAGGAGGGGGTGAGGAGCTGGGGCGTGGGGAGAGTCTAATGCTATCGGGCTACAGTCAGTCCACAAACATTTCCTGAATGAAACAATCAATTGGGGACAGTGGGTATGGTAGTGTAAATACAACTCTGGATACTACAAGCCTCATCACTCATTCATTCATGCATCCTGCCAACATGTATTAAGCATCTAAGTGTATTACACTCAGGAACGCAAAGAGAAATAAAGAGACATGGTCGAGATCCTCACGCACAGCCTAGTCGGGGAGTGACATTAATAAAGGTCTGCATGGTGCTGCGGAGTAGAATTTCTGCCTGGTGAAATCATGGGAGGCTTCGCTGAGGCGAATCCATCTGGGTTGTGGAGCATGAGTAGGAGCTCAGAGAGCGGGAAGGGGAGAAGAGTGTCCCAAGCCCAGGTGAAAACCGCAGTCATTGGTTTTAGCTTAGCAGGCAATTTTGAGGAGGGGCTGGGTGAGGAAGCGATTCTGACTGGGACTGGATTATAAGGTGACTCGACAGGGGGGAGCTACCGGACAGGACTGACGGGTTTCATGTTTCATCCTCTAAGGGGGACAGACTGACCAGGTAGGCTGAGCAGAATGAGCAGAGAACCTTCGCTGAGGCGACTGGCCCCGGTGGGACGCCAACCCCGTTCACCCCAACCCCACCCTGCAGGAAGAAGCCAGTTACTTGGGTTTCTAGCTTGTGTCCAGCTTCCAAAGACCCTCTCTGCCCTCAGGGGAGCTCATGGTTCCCGTCCATGCTCCTCTCAGATCCCCGCTGTCTGCTGACACCTTTCCACTTAGCTTATTCGCCTTTGTTTGCTATACCATGGGGGGGGGGGGCTGACCAGGCTGGTCAGCACCTGTGGCTTGGCCAGGCAGGACACCTAAGAGTTTCCTGCCCCAAAGAAGATTCTCCCACTTCAGCCAAGGGAGTAGAGACAGAACTTGGGGGCAGAGTGGCCCCATCGCTTTGCTGTTAGGCCATTGCCGTCTCCATCCCTGCTGCTCACCCACCCCCGAAGGCTGACTTACTGTCACCCTAGTCAACTCACCCCCACCCACATCCCAGCACGCGTGCAGAACACCGAACACCGACATCAGGTCAAGCCGCAAGCTCGGTTGCCAAACGCTCCTCCCGCTTATGCAACCAGCTTCCCCAGAAGGGCGGGGCTGCAGAGGTGGAACAGGGAGCTGCTTGCCTGCTGGGCTGACCGCAGTGGCCCCGAGGGCGGGGGCAGGGCTGGCCCTTTATCAGTGCCCTGCAGGGTTGCACCCGCCACCCCCTGGCTTCCTCTCTCAACAGACGGAAAGGGGGGCAGCCTCAGGGGCCAGGGGCAGGCAGGGCCTTATCCTAGGCCACAGAGCCCAGC